TGAGAATAGAGATGGGTTTAAAACCCAATACGAAACAGAGTTTCTTCAATTAATTCAAGAAGATGATGTCAATGACGACATTGATACGTGGGACACACTTCAATTATGTGCTGGGACATTAGTTTTGTTTAAATCTGATCTAACTGAACAAGAAGTTAAAGCCATTCAATGTATATATGAACAGAGGAAAGATATTGGACAATACACCGAATGTGCCTCCCTGACATTCAAAACCTACAACGAGAAACAACATTTTTTGCACGATCAATTACTCGAGTTGATAACACTCATAGAAGACCAAGCTAAAATTGATTGTAAACGTATGATGTTTTCATTTGAACCAAAATCAATGAAATTGAGCGAAACACAGATAGACAAACTAACACAGACAAATGATATCAAAACTCATCTTAAAATTGCAATGGATGTAGATGTCGTAACAGAGAATGATATCATTTGCGAAGAGAACCACCAAAAGCTCCAGACCAATGGTAAGTATTTGTGTTACAGTATGAATTTAATTTGATTCATATGGTTATCTTGTATCAAAATACATTTCTTCATGAACATGTTTGTATGCAAGTTTTCAAATAGTGTTCATCTTTAGCTATAGCGATATAATTGTTTTAGATAGACAGGATCGAATATAATATTAAGTGAGCATTCATGTGTGTATATTCTTAATTTGTATTCAGCATAAGTCAAACTGATACAATACATGGTCAATCAAATGATATACAATACAATTATATTCAAAGTATATAATAAAATATGAGATCGTCTTCAATTTGATAATGACACGAGCAGTATAACGCCTCGGGTAATAGTATTTTACGAGGGATGATATGTTTACTGTTTCTCACAAATTTGTTTTTTATTTTATTACCCCGAATGAATACTGCAATGATCTGAAAACTTCAACGAAATCTGCCTGTAACAAAATTGAACCAAGATTAACAATAACTCAACTGTCCTTGCCTTACAAGTTGTAAGAGGACTTAAAACGTTATTGTTCTTTTATTCTTTAAGGGAATGATGATTGAGTATATCTACCAGTCATAAACATTCAATAAGCTTTCATTTCCATTTCGATGGTATCCTACATCTGTCTACCACAACTGTGATGTTTCGCTGATTATATTCGTTTTTCTTTTTGCAGCTTTAATCGTCTGCTTGTTCCATTTTCACACATAGTTAATCCAATGCAATTACTTCCTAAGAAAATTAATTTTTATTTCTTACAATTCAATAATTCAACCAAAAGACAATTAAGACGCGAAATACCTTCAAGATCCAAACAACTAAAATTCCCGCCTTTCAAAAGGTTACATTCTTGGTGGATATCGAAAAATTAGAGGTTGAATAGAGAAAAACGAATGGCTGCCATATTTGTTTTAGAAAATAAACCAAGTGACCCAATTTTATACTATCAAAAAGTAATATTACCTATATAACAGTACATTTTTTTTTATTTACGTAGTTCAATTGCATTGACTGTATGAATAACTCTCAGTGACTTATGGGAAATTAACATTTCCAAAAAGTGAGGGGTAATAATAAACAATAACTTGATATAGGTGAATTATAATCTTATCAACAAAATACAATATCTTTCAGGCCAAATGTTTACTGAAGAACTTCAGAACAAATATGTCTACATCAATGATTCAGCTATTTTGACATGTAAACTCAACCTTCCAACATATGAAAATGTTGAGTGGAGGAAAGATTACAAGCCGGTTGAAATTTCAGACAATCTAATGGTCATGAGCAAGAATGGCAATCATTGGTTAGCGATTTCCCGTGCATCATTGGAAGATACGGGTCAATATTCGTGTGTATATGGCCATATTTTAACTACAGCTGATCTTACTGTTATAGGTATGCTTTAATCGAATTATAACAACAATGCCTGTGTTCTGTTTCAATGCTAAGAAACAGATAAAGAAATAATCATACCTTACTTTGGCATTTACTATTTATAACATTCAAATTTTTATATCTAGTAACCAAAAATTATAATTATAACATTTAGATCTTGGATTAGGTTTTATCTTTAGTTTGATTGGAAATCTAACATTTTTTAATATAATTTGTAACTGAACAGTTAAAATCGGAATAAGAATAATCAAGATAGTAATTGATTAAGTGAAATGTAATTGTATGAAAAGTAACATGGGCGAATATTAGTGACAGTTGATTCCATAACGAAATAAAATTTGTAACTTTGATTACAAGGACTTGGAAGCGTAAATATTTGTACCTTCGTGAAAAACAACCAGCTAGGAAAACTGTGTTGTAACAACATTTATTTTTGGTTTCTTTGCGTACATCATTGCGAACGAAAAAAGTTTGCCTCATACAATATATCATATTAATGTATGATTTATTTTTAATACAAATATGTGTGTATTTTTTAAAAATTGCAATATATGATTCAATGTCGAATGATCGAAGCAATTAAAAATAAAGTGTGATTCGTTCAATTAGCATTATCTAATTAATTTGACAGATGAAGCATTATGTGTGGTCGTTGATTTGCCTGCCAAAATTGAGGTTACCGAGAATGGAAACATTGATATAGAGTGTAAGGTGAACCTACTTACGAGTAAACCTGTTTGGCGATACAAAGGGGAAATTCTACAATCATCTGGTAGAAAGGTTATACAAGCAAATGGTACTACCCACACATTGATGATCATGAATGTAACACTACACGACGAGGGTGAATATACAGTTGACTTTGGGAATGTCTCATCTAAAACAACAGTTCAAATACAAGGTAAACATATATGAATGTTATCTTCGTTTTTGTAATACCGACACTATTAATACAGTAGGTTTTAATCTCTATCAGGTCCTTTACATAAAAGTCGTTAGTTTTATTCAAATGGTTTGGGTAATAGCTTGTTAATCTTAAAAGCAAACACTGTAATTAATTTCATACCAATTTCACATATACCAGAAAATAATTGATGCAATTTTCTTCAATGTATTTTAGTTGAAACAGACCTAATCCACAGAAAACAGATAACACACGAATTGTACAGAAATTGGATGAGAGGAGCTCTAGCATTAAAATATTTGAAAAAAGGTTTAGAGGGTTTTTCTGACAAGGCTGTTACAAAACAACATCATGATCTAATGAAAACTCTTGGAAATACATGCAACACTTGTACAGAGAGAAGTCTTCTCCCACATAAACAAGACCAATGCCCACGGCAAGGAAAACATCAATGTTTATGTACTAAGATTCAGAAAAAAAAGCCAAGACAAATGTGTCCAAATGGTGGATTTTGTGGCAACGTTTATAATAAAATAGTTTGTAATCATCGCTTTCAAGATCCATCATTCACGAACACGGATGTCCAGAAATGGAACAGTGATCCATGGAGTGTTGCTGCATGCTTTATAAATACTACTGGCTACAAAGGCAAGCAATCAGCTAAAGATGTCGACTGCTCTGGTTTACTTAGTATGTGTATAAACAACATTGATATAGAAATGATGCTTGGAGGAGTTATCATCGATGGGAAAATAGATGCGTTTGCACAGGTAAATATCTCAACCACAGTTATCACCTGTTGTTGTTTGTAATCTCAACTGAACATTCTTTGATATTATGCCAATTAAGTGCAATTCTAGAACAGCCTTTTCGAGTTGGCTTTAAAGTTGCTTAATTCATAAATAGAGTGTTTTAGCAACAAATAAAAAATGAGAATTTAAATATTGAAGTTTTATTATTATAGGCACGGGAAGCGCGGAATGATATTCTTCATAGTCCAAACTATGATCTGTCTGAAAATCAACTAAACAAGTTTATCAAAATATTCAAAGAAGTACTAGAAATCAAGGACAAACATGGCAATACACCTCTGAAAGAGGAGCCAGGCGTTGCAAATGCTTTACATTTACTAGATATGGTAACTATCCTATAAGAGTAATTATAAAGACAAAATTAGCCGAATTTGGATACATTGTATTGGTTCTTTATACTAATAGTAAATAATATAATAAATCGTATCCTTTCTAAATGTATTAATTAAGAATATATTGATCAATTTTGTAATATTTGTTGCAAAATATACTTTAGCATTTTCTAAATTCTAAACTACTTGTTATTTTGCAATACATGTATAATAATAATAATGCGTTCAGGTCCTTTTGCATAATTGTGAAACACGTTTATTGACTATAAAAGTAAGAACATTATTGTCTATAATAGTAAGTACAATCACTTCATCTGTTGTAACATTGTAGTGGATCAATCTGTATCATCTTGCAAACGTGAGTTCGTTAATTCTAGGCTTCTCACAGATATACACAGTCAATTGTTTGAGTAATAACAAGATTGCAACAATACAGAATGTAAAAAATGATCATTACAGGTGCAACAAAATCAGATTGAGATTAACCTTGAACATGAGATGATAGAACTGAGAGAGCATGGGATGTCTAGATTAGAAGAGAACTACCAAACAGCAAAACAACAGGCAAATTTTATAGCTTATGCATTTGAGTATTGTTATAACATGTTTTCAAGACCGAGTAAGGCAATATTAACATAAGGCAATATTGATTTTCAAAGCTAGTACAATGGATAATAAGTTCAAAAAGTCTTTTAAAAAACTGCGATTCTAAAGTTGCTAGTCTATTTATTGTATACGAATCATTACTGAGAAAGATGTTAAACAGATGCCTTTTACCTGTCACTGTTACATGTCTCTCTGTTACATTCGTTAGTAATGGAAAAGAGTACACTTTTGAATGACATAAAAGTGTCATTACGTACATATACTTTGTGGTCAGTTCTTACCTACTGACTTCTATCTTAGGTAATCAAATGTAGTATTTAGACGGTGGTATCCGGACTATTCCAGTGTTCTGTATATTGGGTTTTAGAAAATAAGGAATTAAATAAATATTACCAAAATAGATATAATTAAATTTTTTGTTCCTTTTCGTAATGTGAATTTTTATGCACGATAAGCGAATGGTTCGAAAAATATGTATAATTCAACATTTTAAACTTTTTTCTTCAGAGTGAACTGAAACTTCAACTGATAGAGCAACAGATAAAAGGTTTGTCCTTGACTTTTAATTTGAACAAATAAGTGCTTATCCTTATGCAAAAATTCTACTAGGTCATGAGACCATGTTTTGAATCTAAAAGTACGTGATTTCGAGCAACATGTTACAGTGTAGTTCAAAAATCCTGTGTCCGTTTGAAAAGAATAACAATATCAAAAAATAAAGAAACAAATAAAAAAAATCAACGGTCTACCGGTCGCACCACTTCAGATGAGTGATGCCTGTTACTCCAAACAATGCTACGTTCATTAAAGGGACTCCACTGAGGTTTAAAAGCCTAAAAACATAACATTTTAATTTCTTACCTTAATGAGCTGGGGTACTTTTAGACAGAAATATACAAAGATAGTTAAGAAGTATACTTTGAAATAATTGAAAATCGTATTTATATGCTTGTCTTAGTCCGATTTGAGTGAAACGCTTTTTATTTTGGGTCATTTATTTACAATGTGAATAATTATTCTGGAAAAGCGAAGTGCGCGAAAGATCTGAAATTTTGCACAAAGATTAGAGGTCTAAACCTACATCAAATGGTACATTTATATGGAAAAAGATTTTTCAGTTCCATCATATCAAAAAAATTCAGACGAGTCCCTTTAAAGTCTCATATTTTTATATGTAATTAAACAAATTTTGAATATTTCACAGATTTAATAAATACACATGATACTATTTAACAAAGTTTCACAATAATGCAATTATATAAACAAACAAACGCACCAACGAATAACGGCTGTTAATTATTGTACGGCAATAATTATCATTATTATAAAAATCCTACTAAATCGTGTTCTTAATAGTAATTAAATTTTTGCAGTTTGAGTTTGACTTTCAAATAATAAGGTGTGAAAATAGATTATAATTGATGTACATATTAAAAAAATATAAGCAACTCATTTAAAAGTAAATTGTAAAAATATTTGTCAATCAGGGGTCAACGTATGTTGATGCGTGGTATTTATTATACATCGTTATCGTAGCCTAACTAATATTAATTGCAGGTAAAACATTTTTATTGGCTGCTCAAAAATCTAATTTGCATAATTTATTCTCTTACTACTTATGTCTAATACTTTTAATTGTTCCACCAAATGTCCCTGTCACACTGTATACTGACAATTTGTATTGCTCCTTGTATGCCTCTGTGTAGAAAGCATACACCGACAGACCTATTGATCATTAAAAAGTCATGCACAATGTTTTCCTGATTGGTTAATCACCCTGTCAAATATTCTGATGACGAAATAGACATCTATTTTTTACACTTCATCAGTGAACTTGAGTGACCTTGGGGGAAATCAAGATGCAAACCTGTCAGATTATACTGTAAATTACAGCATTCTTAAAATAGCAACACATATTTTTCAGTTACCAATAATAATCTTAGATATTAAGTAGATTTATGATTTTTTTTATTAAATTTACGGTAGTAGAAAAGGAAACGGATTGGGTAAGTTGATAACGTGGAAAAAAGCTATATAGGGAAAAAGATAAACTCGAGAATATGCGTAATTACAGGGAAATCTGTTGGTACCAGTTTTGACTGGATGACTAAATAACCCGACGGACAGTTTTGTTTTCATACGATATTAGTCTGGCTGCCGATTTTCCTGCGCCATTCTCGTTTTTTTAGCGACAATGGCGCAAAATCGAGTCCTCAGCAGATCTCTGCATATTTGATTTACTGAAAAAAAGATACTTGACCGACGATGTATTACCCGATTCACACATACAAACGACAGCTTGTCTAGCGAAAATTAAGTACAAAATAAAAGGATTTATCGTCAATTTGAATGTGTTTCTCCCCCATTTTACTTAAAGTACAGAATTAAATTGACCAAATGAATAAAATGGTTTATCTTTGAAAATTAAGCAGTCATTGCTAAAATTATGTGGTCAAGGATCATCAGCAAGCTTGGTCATCGGACAAATGTTAATATTTATTAATTAAATAAAAGCAATTCAGTTCAATACGATGTTTTCATAACTTGATTGATTATAACATATAAAGAAAAACTTGAATTGAAGATAATGATAATTTTTTAAGTAAACGTACATGTAACAACCATCCATTATCGGAGAAAACTTTTAGTTTAACGAAGTCTTAAACATGCAATAATTTCAATATCGATATCTACATAATTATACTACTTATTTATACTATTGTCATCGCACTTTTGTAAAATCATTTTAATACATGCATGTATGTGATAATAATGTACGTAATAAGAGTAATAAGTTCTTCATCAAGATATATTTCTGTTGTACCAGCGTGTACACCTATACTGTAAGTGGGTGTAATACGTAATAATAAGTCTCGTCTGACACGCGAGAGTAAAAAAACGCCAAAATGGCGGCGCCCATGAACTTATTTATCAAGTAAAAAGTAGTGTCTAAAACATGAATTTCTCAGTTATACGGTTGATTTCAACAGAAAAACTGTCATGGTACCTCTTTTCAAATGATCAATATTTATATAAGACAGATATTAATCTATCCATTCCTATTCCTTTAAGAAAAAAGAACATCAAATTTCTATAAAATAAAGTATTGCTTGTTGAAGAATATTCAATAAATATTGAACAGTTTGGGTGTTTTAAAGTTACAAACAAGTGTTGGTCATTTAGAAACTAAGCTGTAAAATATTTGGTCTAAAGATATATACTTTCCATTCATATACATACCGAATTACTTAAAATAGGACACGAATATATTCTGTTAAGCATTATTGAATATTATTTACATAAATTTCCGTAATTGCTCTAGTTGTGTTTTCATTTACAGATAAAGAAAATGAGCTTCGGCTTATGCTAAATCTTAAATCTGCTGGAAAACAAGAGAATCTTAAAGGTACTTAATGAAAATAATACTTAAATATCTGCGAATTCTCCACTCTAATCAATAAAGATTTGTGAACATTAAAAAGAAGACAAAAAGAAAACAAATTAAGAACATTCTTGTTATTTAATACATTTTCTTGTTTGAAAACTTAAATGGAGTTGAACTAGCTATATTTAAAAAACATCAATATTTCATGGTCAAAATCTGTTCCTTGTTGTTCTTGCATAAGAACTGCGCACGTAGGTAAATATTAACGAATACGGAACATGCTATAACAGATATAATCACTCAATATGATATGCATGACTCAGGGCGCCATGGAAAACGTGTATAGAGAAATCTGTGATACATTTATAAGACAAAAAAATAACGAATCGCAATTGTAACTTATTTAAGAATGGCGCTTATACACAATGTTTGCGTAAATTAAAAGATGCATATTTTTGTGCAAGTCAAACCGTGTTATGTTTTTTTCCAGAGCACTACTTGCCTGATCTACAGATAAAAGTTATTGCTAAAAACGGTGAAAAATCTGCTGAAGGGAATCAACGAATTTATGAAGTAATGAGGGACTATATTAAAGATAACGATAGTATGACTTGTTCGTCTATTGATGGAAGATCAACTGATACACCAGTCTATCACCTCGTAGATTTCATCAAGGCCATAAAGAAATGCCGTATCGTTGGTATTTCTACCACTGACCAATCGTCAACAGACATACAAATCAACTGCCCCAGTTCGAAGACCATGGAGGATGTTTTGAAGTCCATCATCAGTAACGAATTTCAACAAGAACTGTTTGACCTTAGACGATGGCTACAAGTGCAATATAACATCGAATCGAATGACATAATTGCCAGTTGCTCATCAAATGGCATAGATAAAGCAAAACAACGTCTGCGTAAGTTAAATATGGATAATAATGATATTTGATATATTTTATATTTAACAGTGTATTCTGCTCCTGTCGGTGCATTTGCAATCAGTGCATATTAATAGTAATTTATTAATCAAAATTAATTAAAAGAATGTTTGCTATATATCGTTAAGATATGTAAGGATTATTGAAAAACTTAATACTTTTATTCTGTAAACACAAAAATATGTACAGATATTTGAAAACGTAAAACTACTGTCTTCAGACTTTACTGACGTAACCAAAACTTTGACTTGTGCCGAGCATCAAAATACACAATGTACTCTCTATTGTCCTGACCATAACACGTTTATATGTACAGCATGCAGAGAATCAAGACATAGGTAATTATACATTTCTTACAATCAGTAATTTATAGTGATTAATATAGTACAAAAGGTATCAAATTAAAGAAACAAATTTTAAAATCGTGCAACAATGACTGACAACTTATCTGTCAGAAACATTTAAGTTTGATTTCACTTAAAAATGTGTAAACAAATTCAAACAATTTATTGTTTGACAAAAATAATAATTTGATACTTTTATTGACCCGACACTTTAATTTTATTCCTCATTTTACATATTGAAATAATTTAGATTTATTTGGTAAGAAAGACGAATGACATCACCTTTGATAAATATTCGAGTGTTGACAGAATAATAAGTCTTTTCATAATAGCGATTGGCCGATAAAACATTTAGTCTACACTCAGATACAGTGAGCGACTATATAGTTTCTTTTGATCCCGTGATGTGGTTTTGACCCCGCTGTTGCTTTGACGTTAATAGCATCCGAGGTTAGCCAAAATTATTCGTTTCTGTTTCCGGAGCAATATGACCTAAACTGTGTTGACCAGTACGCCGCAAAACCAGACAAACAAAACTAACAAAATATTATTATATCGGCAAATTCCAGCATTCCTTATAGGTTTTTTATATTTATTAACCAGTTAACTTTTAATTAGAATAATACCTTAATTCCAGGTATTTATTTAAGGGATTTCCCGCTGGTTTGTCTTTTGTGTTGTGATATTCTGACATGCCTATTCTTTATAATTTACCAAATAGCATTTTTAAGCTTGTAATTGCTGTTATCACACATGTTTTTGTCTTGAAACTGATCATATTCATTTTATTGTGTAAACCTGTAAACTATTATTGCATGATTATTATTATTAAAATTTATTATCTTATCAGTAATCAAAATAAGCTCTTTAAAATCATGTGATGCACCTATGATTCAAACATCATATCAACACCCTTCTGTGTAATTTAGTTACTCATACATTGGTTATTATGTGTTTGCGCTGTAATTGGCACTTCATTTATAGGGAAGATAATTTGTACATCTTATGAATGTAACAACCGTTTTCTTAGCATGAGGATTTTTTTCACTTCGAGTTTGTATAACACATTTCTTAGAGGTGAATACTTGGTTGCTGCTCGCCATTGTGCGATAATGGCCCGACGATGTTCATAATGACCCGAGGATCCAAACCCTCGGTGTCCATTATCACCACACGGCGGACAACAACTAAATATTAACGTCTTTATAACCTCCGGAATACCGTTGAGGTCATCGTGGTCAGCAGATTTAATGTACTGAACGTCATGCGAAATAATGATGACTAGCTAAACGTATTGCACTATCGCACTGTCGTAATTGCATTATCACAGTGTCGCCATCACACTATCGCTTTGTCGCATTTTCGTACTGTCCTCATCGCATTATCGCAGTGTCGTATAATCACGTAGACTTAACGGTTTTCCATAATTACCTACATTTAAATATCGCCGATTATCTTGGTTGTCGCATTTTTTAAGAAACGTACATGCTGTCAATTTATACAAATATGTCTGTCATTTAGTTAAACAAACTAACAATTGATAGAAGAAAGGGGTGCAGACCTTTTGAACATATGCTTATAAATAAAGACGAAACTTACAGAATCATAGGTACACACAATGTGTACATACATTTGGTTATAACAGAGGCCGGTTTCTTTTTATACACAAGTTTTTGGCAAATTCAACCCATATTTCTGCTCGCTTTAAAAATGATTCAATAGCAGAAAATAATCGAAATTAGGTGTGGAACTAGTTTTCCCCAAATTTTGTACGTGCAACATAAATTGATAGAATAAACCCGGAAATACACACCTTTTAAATCTTCGTGGGACAGAATTGCAATAACCTACGGAGATAAAAAAGCTTAATTAGGACTTTATAACTCCTACGTAGGAGATATAAAAACCTAATTATAACTCCTTCGTAGGAGATAAAAAAAACCTAATTAGGAGTTTTAAAGTCCTACGTAGGAGTTTAAAAGTCCTACGTAGGACTTTATAACTCCTACGTAGGACTTTATAAGTGTTATAAACTCCTAATTAAGCTTTTTTATCTCCTACGTAGGAGTAACAAAGTCCTACGTAGGACTTACAAAGTCCTACGTAGGACTTACAAAGTCCTACGTAGGAGTTATAAAGTTCTACGTAGGAGTTAAAAAGTCTACGTTGGAGTTTAAAAGTCCTACGTTGGAGTTATAAACTCCTAATTAGGCTTTTTTATCTCCTACGTAGAAGTTATAAAGTCCTACGTAGGAGTTATAAAAACCTACGTAGGACTTTATTAGTCCTACGTAGTAGTTACAAACTCCTTATTAGGCTTTTTATTCTCCTACATAGGAGTTATAAAGTCCCACGTAGGAGTTACAAATTCCTACGTAGGAGTTATCTTTTTTATAGAACATGTTAAATTGGCACCAGGACGCTTCCATAATAACCGTTGCCTGTATTTCAAACCAGTGATTTATTGTTTCAATTTTCAAAACAACCTGTGGCTTTCTGAAGGGGAAAATATAGCGTGATAAATCAGGAAAGGGGAAGATCAAATTCTAACAACCGAGGATGGTTAACCAACACATGTTTTAGAATGTTTAATTTCAATTCAATTTAAAATCCATAATACATACAGGGCCTATCTGTAGGGACAGTGTTCTGACTTATAATAAGCTGATATAAGTCAGCTGCTGTTAAGTAATGGCTCTTGTGAAAAATGTGCAAAGGGAATTTAAGGGGAAAAATAGTAGCATTTTAGGGGTAAATATACCTATTTAGGGCTAGGGGAAACAGCCTTTATTCGGTTGTAAAATGCAGGAAAAAAATCACTGCAAACAAGTGTATATGTACTTTTAATGTCTGTTAATCTCGGGTACATGTATAACAATGTACATTCAAAAATTGATTGCACACTTAATGTTTAATAAACTTGGTTATAGAAGCATTCTTAATGTGGAACAGATTGCCCTGATTCTTTCCAGTAATGACGGATACATAATAATTATGAACTGATTTACGCTGGATCTAATGGACTAATACTTACCAAAGGCAGTCGATGCGTGGCTTGGATAGTATACATGTACATGAACACGACTACTCATTTTTATGTCCTCGAATGGAGGCATAATATAATCGCACCGGACTGTAAATTTGTCATACATTGAGGGATTTGAAATAACTTGGCACAAATGTCTACCACATCAAGACAATTTGTTGCGTCTAAGAACCACACCCCTGCCTCAAAGGTCAAAGTCACACTATCATTTTGAAATTTCACATTATCGCAATTAGAGTAAATAGGTACACACATTCGTGTCCGGACTATAACTTTGTCATGCATTGAATGATTTTAAAATAAATAGGCATAAATGTCTAACACATCAAGACGATGTGTCGCGATTAAGAATTAAGTCTCTACCTTAAAGGTCAAGGTTACATTTTGAGGTTTCACATTATCACGATGAGAATTATTAGGTACAATTAATCGTGTCCGGGCTGTAACTTTGTCATGCTTGGAAGGATTTTAAAATAACTTGGCATAAATGTCTACAACATCAAGACGATGTGTCGCGTCCAATAATCACGTCCCTACCTTAAAGGTCAAGGTCACACTACTATTTTTGAAGTTCATTTAATCACAATTAGAGTTTATTAAACAGGTACACACATTCATGTCCGGGCTGTAACTTTTTCATGCATACAAATCTTGACCCGGATATTCACGCCGGTACCGACCTTCGCTCAATCCTGACTATGCAAAACGGGGCCCGCATCAGATATATCACGGTCAGGATTTGTATACATGTAATGTGGGAAAATTTAAAAAGTTAACTGCAAATAACTAACTGCATTTTCTGTTTCAACTGTTTGCATGCACTGACATTAGTTTGTTATTAAGAAAAAGATTGATTTATGTTCATAATCGTCTTCTTTCGGCTCGGTCAAGCGATGTCCGACTTAGACAAAAAGTGCATTTTCGCTTTTAAATTCCATCTTTTGTCGTACCAACTGGTCTAATATTGTACATTTTCGAAATATAAATCATTTCTGCGTAGATTGCACTTCATTTGGTGAAAATTGGTGGGTTGACAACAAAGATCACGGAGGTGAAATAAAGCCTGGTGGTGGTTCCGCTGGCGAACCTTTCTCCCTTTACTATATTTATAAAATATTATGGATGGAATTTTTAAAAGTAACTTTAAAATAAGATATTTTAAGAACATTTTAAGTGAAACATATATTATCAGTGAAAAGAAAAATTATAAAAATAAGTGGGCGTGGTCATGTACATGTATACTATCCAAGCCACGCACCGACTGCCTGTGCTAGTTATCGATGGCACCGTTACCTCTCAAGCGGGAGAAATCATTGTATACGGCAACAATGAGCGACCTATTTTAATTAATAGATATACATTACTTATTCAGGAAACAACAATGATATTCGAATAGTAGTTTAAATCATAGGAAGAATTCAGTGGTAATGTCACAAGGCATATTAAATATACTGGAAAATATTCCCTTCCATAGTTATTGTCTATGTTCAAATCTTAACGTACGCGCCCTTTAAATTCATATTGTATTAATAGTTATTGTTCATAGTTAATTTAATTTGAAATTAACCTGTTGTTTGTTAGTTTGTAAGTAACGACTTTATTCAACGAGGCTTACACATTCGGTTTCCCGATCTTCCAAGTGGGTCACAGCTGAAGTACACAAGTTTGATTCTTTAAAAGAAGCCTGCGAGAGGTCTTTTTGCTGCTGTCGAAATTTGTTTAATTCGACAATATTTGGGGATATTTTTGCATAACAGACACAATTACAATTATTAAACAAAATAGAATTTATTATATATATTGCAATGAAAGTTTGTTTTACATTTCATCTTTTTTAATGTTTTAAAAGATTATATGCCGGAGAAATGGACTTTTTTCTTGGCGCATTAGGGATACTTTTTCTACAAAAAAAAATGTAAAATTACTTAATGTAAATTAAATGATATATATCATTTACATTTGTATTTTAAATTCAGTTCCCTTTGTAGAAAAATCATATATATATTAAAAGTATTTTCAAATAAAAGTTTCTTGTAAAGTTCAATAAGCAAATTTTCGGCCACTGTTAAACATTTCCTCTACATTTTCCAAAACGAGTATAAAGTATGTTAATCAAACAAGTTTACATAAAAAATGTTGATATCATTTGATTGGAGTAAACAGTAAATACTGTTATATACTGTTATACTGTTATATACTGTTTATTGGAATAAACAGTATATAAAGCTGCATGCCTCCAACCACAATATTAGAAGAAAATCAAACTTGAGAAATTTGTGCCATTTGTGCCAAAAAAATCTCCCTTTGCGTTATTTAGATATACCGGTTCAATCGGTCATATAATATGTTTGTTTGTTTTGAACATTGTACGCCTTTTGCCAACAGTATTTTAGTCATATAGGCGGGTAGTTTCCTAACCATCGTTCCTGGAGACTTACACCAGTACTAGACAACCTTCCTCCGCGCTAAACTAACAAAAAAAAGCATATCCCGGGGATCGAACCCACGCCAGAGAGTTTACTGGATTAAAAGTCATCGTCATTAACCCCTCGACCACGGACGCGGTATATCTTGTGCATGGTGATATTGTAGCTATAATGTTCACTGTTACTATTGATCAGAACATGAAATAGTAAAACGTTATTCAGAAAACAATACGGTAATCGATTTATACAGTAACAGAATGAAGCGTCCATGCACGTAGTGTTAAGTAACGTAAATGATATTTTCCGATTTTTCTATGTACCGATTTGTTCACTTCGATGTTAATTTTTCGTTTAAGTTAAGCCGTGTTTTGAAACGGGGCATGCGCAAAACAATTTTTGTAGACTGCTCCTAATGATTTTACGCTTAAAATGAGATTCATTCACTGCAATCAGATACGCAAAAATGGATGCCGCCAGCAATCAGTCTGAACACTATGGAGAGGTCTGATGACCTCTCCAATAATTACAATGAAAAAACAGTTTAAATATACACCATATAAACACAACGTACGAGGGGTCATTCAAAAAAATATTACTTGAACGTCAGCGTGTACTGTAATGAAAATTTATCAGCATACCTTGTAGATTATAATCGACACATTTTGAAAGGAACAATTAAATGCGTCAATAAATAATTATTTTATATTGCTTTTGATAAGCACATACTCGGCATTCGGTGCAAGATAGAAAAGTGCAGTTAGTCATCGTATATGTTTTGCTAAATACTAACAATTTACGTAGAAAGCCGCCCGCTCAACATCGCATGTTTCTTCTAGGACGTCATTTAAATAAAATTCTTTAAAATTATGGACGTCATTTCTTTTAATTTTTGTTGATATCGCTAGAAACGCCAAAACGCCGTTATTGTTAACAACGGGAAAATAATGGACACGCAGAAACTAGAAAATCGCGCAATCATAAAATTTTGTTGTAATTTGGGAATGATACCTACTAAAACATTACAATCAGCAGGCGGGAAGATAAAATAAAATTTCACGATCATTAGTGATGTAAGTGGCATAAGAAATTCAGTGATGGAAATTAGTTTGAGAAGCAGTAACGGTCATTGACTGCGTAACGTTCAAAATTATTTTGGAGTGCGCCGCTGTCGCCGACATGACTTTTGTGTTTATGTTAAATTAAATATTGTTGTTATATATGAAGCTACTTACATGATTTTTTCTATGTTTATTTGTTAAGCAGTGTTAGAATTTCAAATTAATATCTCATATATATTTTAAGCAACAAAGAAAGTCAACGAATTTTTGGTTAATCCCTCGTATACACACACAATTGTCAAATTGAAATGTTAGCCATGTTATTAAATGTCTATAATTGAAGTCATGTCATTAAAACTAGTGTAAAAGTCCATAGAACTTTCCGCACTATGCTAGATGATTGTATAGCTAGTGTTTTCGATATTTTTGTTCGTGATATATTTTGTTTTCATAATCATAAATGGAAATTGTGTCAAAAAAATAATTGTTTTTTTTTTTATTCATACAGCACATGTCTTGGAATAAAAGAAGTTATATCTGAAAGGTCTTACGTTGAACAGAAACGTCGTCTCAACATCAAAAGTATAAAAGGAACGTATAACGTTTGGATAGGTAATTCCTTAATAAATAGAGACTACAATGATCAATATAAGTGTGGTATCACTAGTGTGTGTATGCTACCTAATAGTGAAGGTCTCCTTGCTGACTTCAGGAATAAAAGACTGAAGAAATTGAACAGTTCGTACAAGGTAATAAATCACTGTGATGTACCTGAATGTCCCACTTCTGTGTGTTATATAGGCAACGATACAGTTGTTGCTGTTTTAAGATGCAATTCCATACAGTACGTTAATGTGTCGAGTAATATAAGCCTAAGACAATTATTGAAGCTAGATCATGATTGTCTCGGTCTAGCTTGTCATGGTGACACACTCTATGTTAGCAGTAAAGACACAATTTACACATATGACAAATACTGTAAACACAAGCAAGTTCTCTATCATTATCCTAACACAATCTCCAGTCCCTTCATTGCTGTAAGTGACAATGGTGAGCGAATCTACTTCAGTGCAGATACAGGTCTAACTACAATAGATGCCAAAGGAAATCATATATTCAGTTCACAATTTGACGGTTATTGCTTACATGATATATGTATTGCTGGTGAAGGTATTGTTCTTGTATTAACAAACAAAGTTCATCAGCTGGATTATAATGGGGAAAAGCATCGGACTGTAGTTAGCATGCCATTAAATATATTTTTTTCGTATTCTATGTGTTTCGACAGAAAAAGGTGTAGACTTATTGTTGGTGGTAGTCAAGACAAGATACATGTTTACAAATGCGAATATTTGCCAAGTTAGTTAATAAAATTGTTTTGATAAACCAAGAACCAAATGAAAAATGCATCGCTTATCTACTTTTGTTTATTTAAATTTATAAGTTTGTATGTTTGCTTATTTCTTCATCGAGTCATTTATTTAATATTTTGATATCGCACTTAAGTACCTTGAATGTATTTGTAAGGACTTGTATATATTATATAACTTTTGCATAATAAAGGTTGAATAGTTACGAGTTTGAAACTTTTTTTAATTTAAATTGAGACTATTTAACACTAACACAAACTTGTTGAAGGACCAACGAATGAATTTATCTCGCATATCGTCATTTCTACTAAGGCCTAAAATAAAATTTAATTTGTTTCCTCCTGCCTACCTACCCAACAATTTTGCTCCTACTCAAAATATGTTTTCAAGTTTTGACCTTCAAGATCAATGTCATTTGTAAGAGAAGGTCAATTTCAGTTTGGTCAACTTGACTGTCTTGTCAAAGTGCTATTGTGTCCAAGTATGAAAGTTATACATTTGGAAATTGCAAAAAGATATGTGACCAACCTTAATTTGTTTGGAAGGCAAGGGTTACAGCAATGGCAACAGCTGTAACAATTGCTGTTTTTTCTCCGATAACGTCTAGCTAAAATAAGAACTTAATTTCATTTAAAAGAAAAAAAATATTCTTATGTACGACCTTGTCTATGATTTATGCTTAAGGAAGAAAAAAATGACCAGATTGATAAACAAAATGCCTGTATTCATCTTCAATGTTTTAAAACCCCAAAATAAAAAATAATTGTGAAATATGAGCCCCTTAAAATATACTAAGTTTAAGAGTATATTTTGAGGGGGCTCTTATTTTTTTTTAAACACTAAGATTAACACAGGATTTTTTCATCAATACGTTCATATTTGTTCTTCCCAGGTCTGATACTCGAGCTTGTGGTTCCAAAGCCTTTATAACTGTTCATGGTTTTTTTTGCAAATTGCATATTTGTAGCTGTGATAATGATAATAAATTGTGAATTTTAAAATATTTTCCAAGTTTATGAGGGTAGCTGTCAAGAAACGTCTGACCATGACTAAATTAAAACTTGACTTTTTTAAATACCAGCATATGCAATGTCAACCTCATCCATAAAATCCTACAAAAATAAGAGCAGAAACTGCATTTTTTCCAAGTTAACAAAGGATAACTCTGTTAAAATTCATCGGACAAAAAACAAATTCGAACTTGGCTTTTATGGTCAAATACCTGCAAATGCGATTTCAAGCTTCTACATACTTTTCTACAAAAGTGAGAGTGCGAAAACTGAAAAAAATCTAACGTTAAAGAGGAATAACTTTGTTCAAAATCACCGAACCATAACCAAACTCAACCTGCGTATTCCTATGACATATCTATATATTAAATTTAAGTAGAACGTGTATAACTGTTTGCGAGATAACAGGATTTTTTTAAGTAAAAGGGGCATTACTTTGCTAGAAAACATCAAACTTTGACCAAATTCGAATTTGACCGGCGTTATCCTTCGTATCCATATGTCAAATTTGAGATGAATGTGCACAACAGTTGGAGAGATAATGAACGGAAACTTCCAAATTATTTTTTTTTCCAAAAGTCAAATGGGATAAATCTGTCAAAATATCATTGAACCATGGCCAAATTCGGACTTGACCTGCTTATTCTTATGACATTCATGTTGAAAGTGTACAACTGTTGGCGAGATAATGAAAAGAAAATTTCTCTTATTTTCTCAAAGTTAATGGGGTAAAAATTCATCGGCCGAATAGGATCTTGACCTGGGCATTCCTTAGACGTATTCATATGCCAAATTTGAGTTGAATGTGTACAACTATTGGAGAGATAATGAACATGAACGGAAACTACAGTATATGCCACCAGCCATAAAAAATAAATATCCCTTTTATGTCAATCACCGTTGTAATGCCCAAACGAAACCTTGATTAGCATAGATTGTCTTAGATTTAAACTACGGAGGTATTTCTATTTTATGTCGCAGATTTCAAAGAGTATTGCTAATATCTCTGGGAATTTTAAACTGTTCCCGTTGGTATACATGTATATATTCAAAATTGCTGCGCTGAGTTATAATTGTGTTCAGTATTTTAATAACAAGACGCCCGTCATAAAAGATTTTGATAGACATGATGGCATTATAGATATGCATAGCAATAGCTCCAAGTGTGTTCTTGATTTTTGAACTGGATAATTAATGAAATAATACATTTAATGGCAGTGAACATTTCTACAAACTATCATAAAAATTCTTCTATATAGGAGATATGCACTTGATCAAGTCCGGATTTTTTATCATCTTAAGTGACCTTGACCTTGCATACATTGACCTAAAAAACACGTGTCTTGGCGTTTGTCATGATAATCAATATTTTTGCTACAATCCCCCAATAAAGGATGACTTAATGGTATATATACTCATCTTCATTTTTATATAAACTTTAACCCCGATGTGTTACATAGACTTAGCTGCAGGGACCTGAATTTATGCGCCTTACACTCTGCCTCGCGATGATGAACATTTGTACCAAGTTAAATTAAAATCCCTTTATGCAAGTAGAGATTTTGCTCCGGACAAGCCTTTTTCAATTCAATGACCTCTGTGTGACATTAACCTTTGACCTACATACCTGATGGGCACGTCAAAGCTTCTCAAAGAAATTTACATTTCTATGATGTTTCATTAAAATCCCTCTAGGCGTGTAGGAGATATGCTCTGCAGAAAAATATGGATATTTCATTATCTTTAGTGACCTTGACCTTGAATAGATTTACCTAAATTACAAGTATTACAGATGTTGTCATGATGATGAACGTGTGTTATAATTCCTCTATAAATGATGACAAAATGGTCCCAATACACATTTTAATATTTATATTTGAACTTTGACCCTTTTATGTGATCTTAACCTAATCCTCTCGGACCTAAATTTTGCGCGCAACAGTCCACTGCACAATGGTGAACATTCGTTCAAAGTAGTATAGAAATCCTTTAATGCAAGTAGCAGTTTTGCTCTGGACAAGCATTTTTCAATGACCTCGGTATGACCTTGACTTTTGCCCTAAAGACCTTGTCCATGCCCACGACACAGCTTCACATAGTGGTGAACATTTCTATGAAATGTCATTAAAATACCTTCATGCATGTACGAGATGTGCTCAGAACAAACAAAAGACACCTCACACTGCGTTCCTTTAATATGACCCATTTTATGAAAATACTAGCCACAAAAAGCAAAAATTAAGCAAAAATTATAAATTTGAAATTAAAGGTCAATGTCAGTAATGAGTGATAGTCAACTCAAGTCTTGTCTAAAGGATTGTAGTGTACAAGTATAAAGACAATCCATTCAGAAATTATAAAAATATAATAACCAAACTTTTTGGACAGAATCAGCAACGGGCCACGACTTTTGCAATCCTCAAATTTTTCAATAAACAAGATGGCCCTAGATAGCTTCCCTAACCCATCAAACTCATCCAAGCAATTACTTAGACAGTTATCCTGACTAAGTTTGATAACAATTGAGTCTCAAATGTGAACTATAGAGTGTTATCAAGATTTTCCATATTTCGCCAGAGTGACCTAATTTTTTTACCCAAGGTGACCAATGTTCAAGCTGTCGCTACATGGAAACCCGTTAATTCCGGTGAATTTGCATTGAGTGAATCTGAACTACGACCTGGTGATAATATTACATTCAAAATAGAAGGTAGCTAGTTTTTTAAAGATATAACACAACATTTAAGCTTATTAGTAATTACCAAAATATAATAAACAACGGAAACAACAACTATTTTAAGTCACGTCACGTTCAACAGTATGGCTAAAATTTGAATAAAATTATAATGTTTTGAAAATATTATTCATATCAAATATCATCAAAGAATATGCGTATAAATCTTTGGTCATCATTACAAAACATTAATTATGACTGCAGTTAAAGAAAAAATATTTCCAAACGTCGTTATTATCTTACGTTTATTAAACATGTGTATGAAAAACCTGCATAATAAAACATACAGTTTAAAAAAGGTCACTATTACAAAAATGAGTATCGATTTGTAGCATGTAAAAGAAATAAGCTTGTTAATTGTCATAAGAAAACATACTACAAGCATTCGTCCGTTAAAGTAAAACCATTATAAAGTAAAACAATTTCATATTCGGCGCTTGCAAAGATGGAAAAATTACTAACAAATTTTGCGGATTTTCCTAAACAATAGTAAACGTGTGAATGGATATACCAAACTCCACAAGATCTGAGAAAAATATAATTAAATATATTTTTTTCAGAATTTACGCTTCTATTTGAAAACTACATGTGATCGTGGTCAAGTGAAAAAATTGTGTTCAAACCGCTATGATAACACATGAATAAAATAATATACGCCTCCCTCTCTTTCGAGTGGAAAACCGAATAAAGCAAATTGTCATTAGAATTTTAAACTTAAAATGTTTTTGTGTTCTATATTTGAACCCCTACATGAATTGGCTATTATAAAGTGGTCTATAAATATTCTTTTGACGACGTTACCGATATTTTTTAATGTGTTTATAATTGATATATCCAATTATGACATTTCATGCTTGATGATAAAATCTATCCACCTAAAGCTATCGGTAAAATAAAGCATACTTTTCATAACAGAAAATTTTAAGTGGGTATCGAACTGTCGCCCTTCCAACATTTTAAATAAGTATTTTTTCCCAAGTAATTGCTCTATATTTTTCTTTTAAAACCAATGTTTTCAAAGAAGAAATGTAAATTAGAGAATAGATTAGACAACCTGATCTGATCATAAAACTATAATAATGGAATTCACAACGACAATTGTAATTGTTATCCGAGCAAAAAGTAAACTGCTAGAGGAAAGAAAACTAAATGCCGATATATTTGGAATCATTGATTATTTTAACTTGTTTGTTGCTATTACACTTACAAAATGATAATAAATATATATTTCATAACTTGCACGAATTCTTATTGCCGTTATTTTTGCTTAAAGTGTTATATTTCTGTTTGTAGAAGAATTTTGAAGCTAATACGAGCAGTATGTTAACATTTTGTTCTTTTGAAATGATTGTATAAAATCTTTTGTAAGTTCCTGATATTTTAGCATGTGCTCGTCACATTTAGTTTCTTATAAACCGGTACCGTTGGCCCAGTGGTAAACGC